ATTCAATACTATATATGCTCACTTGAGTTGGAATATTAATATCTAAATTATTTGATATTAAGAATGTCAACGATAATTGCAGTGGAATTAAATAATGTTTAATGTCGACGAGAAAGTGCCAAGAAGTAGGTCAATTTCAGATTTTGCCATATTTGTTTAAGAAGATTAATTTGTACAAAAAAAAACAATAAAATATAGGGCCCAGACAATGAAATATCTACAGTAGAAAACCCGTGACACTAATCATTTTTGTTTAGATAATTTTTAAATAAGCACAAAAATATTTTATTTTTATTTTTTTGCTTTTTTCTATATGTTTGTTTGCATAATATTTAAACAAGCATTGTTTTGATTAAATGAGTATAAGAATAATTTTCATTTCTTTCTACATTTTGTTTGTATATGTGAATTCATTTTTTTTAAAAAAAAAATTAATGTTACACGTAAAGTATGTACTTAGGGGGTGTATTGAATTTGGACTTTAAATTTTTTTGGAAAGTTTAGATGTATTCAATGTAGAGTTTTTGAAATTCTCTAAAAATATTGGTGTATTCAATCGAGACTTTTATAAGTCTTTAAAAGTTATAGTGTATTCAATCAAAAAAATTTAGAAATCTCTGCAAGTCTTTGAGTATTTCAATTAACAATAACTTTTAAAAACTTTTATAAAAATTTCTAGGGTACTAATTTTTAAGCAGACATCACAAAAATAAAATCTCAAAATTTGTTTCTCATTCATCCTAAGATTTTGAGAGACTTTCACAAAAAAAAAATTTAATATTTAATTTTTATTTATTTCAATATTTATCTTTCCTTTTTCCTTTTACGGACATTAGAATCATAATTAAAAAATTATCTTTTTCTACCTATTATATTTGTTTCAATTTTTCTCTCTCTTTTATTGTTTATTCCATGTTCTATGAAAAAAATAAATTGTAACTAAAGTTTCTTATAATTTTTTTTTTCTATTTTCATCCATTTTTTTATGAAAAGAGATTATATATAAAAAAACTAATTTATAATTACATTTAAATATATTGATTTATTGTTTACTCTTTAAAGGTATATCGTATTGATAATAATGAATCTTAAATTTTTTATTTATTTTTTTTATCAATGAATAATGAAATTTATATATATAGTATTTTTATTATTATTTATTTTATTAACGTGACTTAAATTTTTATTCTTTTAAAAATACTAGTCGTACGCTCGTACACTGTACGAGCTTTAGTATTTTTAAGGTAATATTAGTGTATCATAGTAATAGTATTGTGAAATGTCAGTAAGTTTTTATCTAATAAAATTTAGTAATGAAAAATATTATGTGATAATCCTTGAAGTTCTGAGCTTCAATTGATCTCTACAGAAATGGAAAAGAGTTTCTATTATCTGCATAGAAATTAGTGATATACTTTATTTAATGAAAAATATAAAGATGAAAAAAATTTACAAGTATACTCATTTGTATATTAATTGTTGCAAGTATTATAGAGATAAGTGAAAGAGGGTGTCACCAAAATTAATCGAATAAAGCATTACTGGTTTTATAACTGAAATATTATTTCAAGAACAAAAACTACTACATTTGAATGGTTAAAGAGTCCGTACTTTTACCATGCTATGATCACGAACAATTTTGATCATGAGTGTGTGCTTCTTGTCATTAAAAAGATCATATGTCTCAATATTAGTCATGGTAGAAATTCTCGAATTCAGTTCACAAAAACATTTGAAATTTAAAAGCACATATGTTAATGATTTAACAAAAAAAAAAAAAAATTGTTAGTTTATAGTCCCTATTTGGGAGAAATTTTAATCAAAATTATCCCTCTCACAGGTGGAGCCCACAGATTGACTATAACGGCTATAATTTTGATTAAAATCCCACAAAAATTGCTCTTAAACATGCTCATAATTAAGCAACACATATTCGTTATGAAGGTGGAGTAGAGAAGATAAAGTAAATGAAACTTTTGAAACTATACGATACGAAAGGGGTATTGCGGGTTAAGGGGGCAGCGCCTCTTGCGGGATGTCCACATCAGGGATCTACCTACCTGTCAGGTCGAGGGGCACTTGTGGGGGTTCGAGGGCAACGCCCCCGATAAGGATTGACCTAATCGGTCAGATCGAGGGGGCAGCCTCCTCGTGGGGGCTAAATGTAAATAAGTATAATTTTTTGGCAAAAATAATAATAATAATAATAATAAAGGAGACCTTGTGTGGAGACACGGACGTCCCGTGTCTCTCGTGTCTATGCGGAGACACAACACTGCGGGGACACCGGGCACTCCATGTCTCCGTATTGTGCGGAGACACGGTATTTTTATTTTTATTGTTTTTTTTTTTTTTGCATTCATTAACTTTTTCCTCCTTTTCTTTTTCTATTAAAAATAACGCATTCAATTCATTAGTTTTTTCTTCTTACTCTATATATTGTCCGACCCAATTTGCAACTGGTCATCATTTCTGTCAATGTTATTTGGCTGCACTCCTGGAGTCTTGTCTCCGCATAGTGTTGTGTCTCTGTATTGTGCGGAGACATGGTATTTTTTTTTTCATTCATTAGCTTTTCCCTCCTTTTCTTTTTCTGTTAAAAATAATACCTTCAATTCATTATTTTTTCTTCTTACTCTATTTGCAGTTGTTCGACCCAATTTGCAGTTGGTCGCCATTTCTGCCAATGTTATTTGGCTGCACTCCTGGAGTCTTTCATTAATTTCTTCAGAAACAGTATTTCAATGAAAATTTGAGATTGTTTCTCCATTGCTCAACATAAGTGAGGAATCAATAGTATTCTTTGTCGGGTTGGTGTAGAGAAGATTGAAATCGATGATTTGGAGCTGTTTGAGGAGAAGATATTTATAAAATATCAAATGCAATTGGACGGCTGAAGATGAAGAAAATATATACCTATTAGTCAACAAAGATGGCTAGATATTGAGGGAATCACTGTAGCAAAATCAGATCGTGAATAGTGGATAACCAATTTCAGTGTGAAATGGAGGGTGCACAAATTAACAGTGATTTGATCATCCTCTCTTTTAATATAGTAGTGATTTTTTATTACGTGAGGACGTGAAAGAGAATTGTGGAACCAACACCTCATATATGACAACTTCACACTATTGTACATGATCCGTGTGAATTTTATTTTAAATGAAAGTCTTTTAAATTCTACAAAAGTCTATAAAAATTTCAAAATGAAAGTCGACAGAAGTTTACAAAAGATTTTCATTAATTCCATACAAATTTATAAAAATCCACGAAATTCACAAAAATCATCACTTAAAAAAAATATCTATAAAAATCGTCAAAATCCCAATTAAATATACCCCCTTTAAGTATATACTTTGTTTTTATTCAAAATATCTTCACACTAGTCATGAACACACACACACACACTTGTCAATGTGCACGCGGTAGACCTTGAAAACACACTGATTTCTCTAAGTTTGAGACGAGCGTAGTCTAAAGCAAAATGGATAAACACTCGAATGTGAAAAGAAAAGTTCCAATCAAACAATTTCATCACACGCTCCTTAGACGGTAAAATAATGTAAATATTCTACTTATTATTCTTTGATCTCTTGCGTGCATAAATTATTGTGTATAAATTCCAATTATAGTATTCATTAATAATCAAGGAATGAAAATTACAGTTTTCATTTAAATTCATAGAATGCTCATTGTAAAGGTACGTTTGATGCTAGAAGCTCAACTGCATGCAAGCATGATGAAAGATAAATCAAACCATCCATGGCTAAGCTTCAAAAGTTTACATATAAATAAATAAGTTTTATTTGACAAACTTGAAAATAAGGTAGGAGTAACCAAATAAATGTAACATTTTCTTATAATACCGTCCCTAACTGCAATTGTGATGTTCATTTGGCGACATGGTCAAAATGGTTAGGTTAAGAAATCAAGCTTAGCGAGGGACCAACAGAGCCATACATTTGTAGGGATGGCAAAATGGTTCGTTGGTTCAGACAGCTAGAGCTCAATGGGGCCGAGTCGAGGCTTGGGCCGAACCCCATTTTGGGGTGTAGACTCGAACCGGGCCGACTTGTAAGCCTAAAAAAAAAAAACGTCACTTCTTTTTCTTTTTCTTTTTTCAATTTTTTTATTTTTCTTTTCATTTTATCTATAATTTTTTTTATAGGTTAATATTTAGTTATTATTTATAATACGTATAAATTGCACAAATTTTAAATTCTTTAAAAAAATTTAGATTTGTTACGAATTTATAAAAATGAAAAAAACCAAGCTGAATCGGGCTCGGCCCGCTAAGGCATGTGTCGAGCTTAAATATTTTGGCCGAGCATCGTTGGCACCCCTATACATTTGTCATCGTAAAAGATGATTATTTTTTTTGGGAAGAATTTAAAGTTAAAAAGTAAGAAAAAAAATTTGAGATTACATACAAAATTATTTTTATGGGAAAATGTGTTATTAAAATAAGTTCGAAAAAAAAAATGTTTTGAAGAATTCGGCTCAAGAAGGGACTCACCAAAAGTGCACAGTACAAAATTTGCACGAGAATATGCAGGCCAGCTTTTCATTCAGATCCCAGATAAAGAGATCTCCTTATCACCATTCAGCATGAAAACATATCAGCCTTAAATACTCCAACGAAAGCTTAAATAGAGAACGAATGCAGAATTCTATCCCACATAAATCCTTTTTCACCACACCATTCGAACTACTGACTCGTCCAAGACTTCAAGCTTCAGCAAGAAATAAATATGTAAAAGTTGATTAAATTTCAATGCAATCATAGAAAAAGGCAACACGTGCTATAACTTGCACCATTGAAGTCGGAAAAAAACAGTAGCAAGTACAACAAAAAATAGAAATTCATTTGCTTGGAAGAAAATTGTCTAGCCATTTGTTGAGAACGTTGATGCATTCTCAATTATTCCCTATGGTTGAGGACTTTAAAAAGCAAAAGGTACACAATAAGACAACTATGAGCCACCATCTGCACAAGAAACCTAGGGTTCTCCACCAAGCTCTACTCTTAGGTTGTCATATGGGTAGACCTTGGGTGTCTGGTAAGAGAAAAAAGAGAAATAGCATCAGATAGAAGCATATCATTTAAATAAATACTTCACAATAATGATAATGCATAAATTATTCAACATGTACGATTTCTATGAAAAAGTTGGAATGTCTAGGTACCCTCCTATGTGGTAGCTTAGACCAATCAAGTCCAACTACTCATGGACCACCATCCAAATTCCCAAACTAAACAATTTCATCATAAAATGGTGATTTAGTATAAGGCTTGAGAAGTGAAATCCGTAAGAGGTTAAGATGGGCACACTCTCCCAAAGTAGAAGGTATGTAAGAGTTAACGATGTGAGCACAAACCCGGGTCGCTACAAATGATGTGCTATGAATCATTAGGAGTATTGGTTTATAGCTAAACAAATGAAAGTCTTGAAATATTACACCTCCAAACTACGTCTTGACTGTCATTTGAATAGCTAAAATGTCATGAAGTTCCCAAAGAAAAAAAGAGGAGCAATCATTTAGGGCATGTTTGAGCCCCATTTTTTTTTTGTGTAAAATGCATTTTGGAATAGTAGATTGATGTAGAATGTTTGGTTAAAAATCAAAGAAAAGTTTTTGGGCTGTGTTTAATATCATTTTATTGAAGAATGTGTGGTTGAAAAGAAGAGAGAAAAAAGTAATTTGAAAAATATGGGGATCACACAAAAGCTTAGTATGCTTGTCTAAAATCTGTTTCAGATGATATTCATAAAAAGGTTAAGGTTACTATTTTGTAAATTCCCACTTCACTTGTTCAAATAGAGCCAACTTAAAGGTGATGCAAAAGGAAAAAAATAAAATAAAATCGTGTGATGGATCTTGCCTTGTCTACAAAGACAATGCCACCATCACAACCTCGGGGACAGCATCAAAGCTAACACCACGTGACAAAAATTGATCTCATCCCTCAAAACCAATGCTGCCTACAACGCCACCAATGCCAACCCATGCAGCTGCCCATGAGATAACCCTAAACTTAGGTGCTTGTGTCAATCTTCAAGGTTGGTTGTTTGACAGTAGCATAGGCACCTTTCTAAGAACTCATTCAAGAACTGGTGACCTTGAGGTCACTGTTGATCGTAGCAGAAAGACGGTAAATCCATCAACCTTAACATCCATCTCTTCCTCAGCATGCTACTTAATGTCTGCGAAGAAATATTCTACATGCATTCCAACGTTCCTGAGGAATCACCCTTTAGTGCCTTTATTTCGGGCTTTACTCTCTAAATTTCTATAGTAAGGAATGTACACTAACTCATCATACCTCCTACTTGCAGGTTTCCCAGCATTCTGCAATGATAATAACTAAATTACTAATTCTGCAATAATCAATTAGATTCCAGTCAGAAGAATGGCCAATTAGCTCTTAGGATCTCATTGCCTGCTTGTGGCAACAAAATATATCCCATAATCCATTTTATAGCTTAGCAATTAATCATTTATTCATGGATCATGACTTAAGATAAGAGATTTAAGAATTCATTTTAATACAGAATGGGATATTATTCTGCTGCAGATTAAGTTTCCATTGTCGAGTTATCAACATCACAATAAAATTAAAGTCAAATGCATGTATTTTTTATCACTATGTTTGATCTATCGCAACATCTAATGGAAGAACCAATGCTCCTTCAGAACCACATCAAGCAATGTTGATTTTGGTCTTTCTTTCTTTCTTCTAACTTTTTTTTACTTGGATAGCCACACTTCTGTGAATACGAGTTCCTTTAGGTCTATGCAGTACATGCCCCAACCTCCTTAAGTTGTTCTTTCTTTCTTTCTTTCTTTCTATATATATATATATATAAATAAAATTGTCGAAATGTGTGGTTGAAAAGTTATAAAAGTTGTGGGTCCCTTGAACTGTGTGATAGAAAATGTGTTTGGAGAAAGGGTAACATATATAAAATACCACATATTCAAGTAAACCCCAGCTATGGCTATGTTTTACATTTCAAGCCAGCTAAAGTAATTGGATTCTTTCTTTAACAAACAATGCCATCAAAGAGAAACAGTACATCAAGCATCTTACACTCACTAACGTCGAGAAAAATATTGAATAACAGATAAAATGCAGATTGACACCAAATGCATTAAATTTGTACGAGGAAATGGCCAATAATTTTTTTTTTTTTTTGATAACCGTTGATGTCAGGGTCAACTTGCGCACACCTCGACTAATTCCACGGGGCCCTGAAGTTTACAGTCGGATACTCACCTCAGTGGTCCTGAGGGGATTCAAACTGGTGACCATTGGGGAGCAAACTCAATGCCTGACCAATTAAGCAACCCCTCAAGGTTAGGAAATGACCAATAAATCAAATAGAGATTCACAAATTAACTAGGATCGAGAATATTCTTCCATAAATTGGATTTGAAATATAGTTAAAATTAGAATGTGAAAACTTAGAATTCACACGATTGTATTTCTTCACCTCATAATCTACATTTTTGGCCATGAAAATTGGAGGATATATACACACACTCAGTGAGGACCAAGAAGCCACATGCTATTGCATGGCAAACAAAACTACTACATTCTACTTCTCGCATATTAAAGTTGTCATATAGCTATCAAAGTTCATGTGCCAACTCTAAACTTGGAGTATTACTGGGCCATGCTCATAAATTAAGTACCTACATTCAAGGTTTAAAAAGGCGGAACTAAGTATTGAGGCGGTTTTTCTTTATGAGGCGAGGCGTAAGCCTCAAGGCGGATTGAGGCGTAAGCCTCACAAAAAATAAAAAATTTAAGCGAAAGAATTATAAAATAATACAAAAATACAAAAAATAAAGTTGGAGCATATAGTAAATATGATATATAAGCCATTATCACATAGAGATTTAGTCTACCTAACAAAAAAAAAAATATTATTTTTCAATTTTTTTAATTTATTAGTCGAAATTAATAATTTTTTATTATTTTTACATCATATATATAAATGATAAATATAAATAAAATTTGACATTAAATTCATACATGAAGGGTGAAGTGGTAAAAGAATTAATTAATATAAAATTTACATGTTTGAGCCCCGTTCAATTTTTTTCGAGATTTCTCATTTCAGATCAGTAAATTGAAAGTGAATAGGAAGTTGTATGTAAATGCTGAAAAAAAGGTAAATTTAAAAGGTCAAAAATATCCTATTTTTGACACTAATTTCCAAAAAAATCCCTAACATTCCTTCAATTTTAAAAAACCTTCCACCATCTATTTGGAGGACAAAGTGGGAAATCTGAATTTGGTACCTGCCAAAACATTTCAAAAGTCAATAATAGATGGTCCTTGTCTGCTAAAAAGTAAAAGAAAAACCATCATGCGTGGCCCCCACAAGAAGAAAATGAGATTGGAAAAAAAGGGCTCAAACACAGGCACAAAAAGTCAATAAACACGTCTCTTCTTCTTCTCTCTCATCTCTTCTTCTTCTCTTTCTTCGCACCAGGACAGCAGTTGCCATTTTCTTCAGTCACCGGCCGGTCCGGACTGCAGTTACCATTTTCTTCTTCATTTCTTAGAGAGGCGCACGCCTCATGCTCCATGAGGCGCGAGCCTTGAGGCGTGCGCCTCAGATTTAGAGGCGCATGGCTCCTATTTTTGCCTCAGAAAAAAACGCCTCGAGGCAGAAGATATACGCCTCACACTGAGGCGCGCCTTGAGGCGCACCTCATGAACGCCTTTTTAAACCATGCCTACATTCAATACTTTCATGGTGAGGTTACCACCCAAAAAAAAAAAAAATTTAATCGGGGAAGCAGTTACAATTGAGATCTAGCAGGAGTGGTACTAGAGAATTTTCCATTAGAACAAGCTTGCATCAAGATGTGCTCTAAATCCATATCTTTCTACTTCAGTGTAGGATGAGCTACTGAATATATTTAAAATAGATCTTTCTAGCCTCATTCATAGTTTGAAAAAACGTAAACAGGTACCGAGGCCTTTTTTTGTTATGAGGCGAGGCGTAAGCCTCAAAACGTTGTGAGGCGTAAGCCTCACCACAAACAAAATAGGTGCAAATCTGGCGACAATGCACTGAACAAGAAAAAAGCCAAGCAAAGTCTAGGAAAACAATTTTAAATTGTAAGTCATTAGAAGAAGGCAGAAGCAAAGGAGAAAAGAGACATAGAAGCAGCACTTGAGGATCTCTTTTAAGCGAAGGATTGAAGATAAGTTTTCTGGTTGCCGTTTAGTTTTGGGAAGATTTCTGACTGCAGTGTAGTCTGGCCATCAGTAAGATTTCTGTCTACTGTGTAGAAGGATTTCTGGCTGTCTTTTGGTATTCTAGATATTTTAATATTTTGTTTGGCCCAAAATGTCTTTTTAAATGGGCCCTTCTCTTTTTTAAAAAGGGCCTTTTTTAATTCCTTTTCAAAAATCTGAAAAAAACATACTTCAAATGAGGCGCATGCCTCATTTTTTTTGCCTCAGATGTAGAGGCGTGCGCCTTATTTTTTGTGCCTCACAGATTGAGCCTCGAGACACAGAAGCTGCGCCTCACAGTGAGGCGGGCATCAAGGCGGGCCTCAGCAAGGTTTTTTCATACCATGGCCTCATTCAACCTATACCACTAAAAATACCTCTATAAGCTGCACATCCAGTTGAGAAGCAATCCTACATCACTATTCCATAAAAATAAGGAACTGTTAACTGATATCCTTTGCTATAATCTCCGATAATCATGTTGATAATGAAAAGACTCATACTGTCGCCGACAATGAGTCTGCTACAATAAGTTCAATTTCCCTCCATTGAGGAATCAAATTCTGGATGGGAACAAATGATAGGCCCCCAATCCGGTTCACTTATGCACGAAGGAAGAAAGAGCTACCAGTTCCTTAGTTGTTAGTTGGTTGGGGGGTAAAATAGGGAGGGCAATGTAAATAAAAGGTGAGGGAAGGGAAATAGGATGGCATCGAATTCATTCAGTCAGTTGTGGAAAAGAGGGAGAGACCGGGCCTCTCTAATAGCCTTGGAATTTGTTATCAATTCTAGTTCATCAGTTCTTCTTAAATAAATCATTTCTTATTCGTGTTCCATTATTCCAACATTATTCAGAGTCTAATTGTTTCCTCAGCTTCCTAGCTATATCAGAGATCTAATTCAATATTGTTCACAGGTTACTAAGCTTCATTGGGGCTTCAAGCTACAACAGACACGCAGAAAGTGGGAATCAGTTGGTAAATCCTATCAAACACCTGCAAACTATAGTTTTGTGTTTGCACTACTAGTTGAACAGACGTGAAAGTATCTTTTCCGTGGGAACTACCTTTTGTATGGGAACAAGGAAGTGAATATTATGTAAGATGTAGTTGATACAGTAAGGCTACAAAAGATTTATTGGTATCAAACACTTCATCAATATGGCCAAATGAGGCAGTTTGGCTGCACCTATTAATTTCGAATTGTGTTTTCAAATCAGACCAGCCTGTTGATTAAGATATACCGGGTTAAAATTTTCTTCATGACAACTATTAGACCAAGTTTACTTAGTGGTATTGAGTTTTGGGTCATTAAAGGGCAAATTATCTATAAGATGCTTAAGCAAAAATGAGGATGTTAAGATAAGTGTGAAAACTAGAATGGATAAAGTATGAAACAATACTATATGCCACTCAGTGACAGTTAACCATTTAAGATAAATTAAGGAAAAGGCATCTTAAATAGTTGGGCTATATCGTCCTAGCCTAAAAATATTCTCATTTCACAAAAGTCATGCAGTCTAAGGTTAGGGAAATGAGAAGTGGACCAGAATAAACATGGCCTGAGGTCTTTGCAGAAGATGTGATTTTCTTGGACCTTTTAGGAGAGGTAGCTCCAGATCGGATGGAATTGTGAAAATTATTCATATAAACCAGCCCCAAGTTCATTGCTAATAACGGTTAGTGTCTATTAATGTTGCTTTCTATTCAACCAATAGCAACTTTCATGCCTTCCGCAACTGATATAAAAAATTAAGGCAACCCTCAAAAAGTCAACACCTTCCCTAATGGTATCATGGTCCTTCGATAATGCTTCAGATTGTTTAAGAATGTTCACCGTTTGATACCATGATAATACAAAATTTTCAAGAGAAAAATTAAAAGACACAAATAGTATCTTTTTTTCTCCGGTGCTAAACTAGCGCGGACAAGTATGTAATGAAATATTCACCCACCATACACGGCGAAGAGAAGAATTTTTAGTCTATACTTTCGGAACATACATAGCTTTAAACAAAGTACATAAACAATATTTTACGAATTCCATTATAATTAATTGAACAATAATTATAATTTGAAAGATGGATTATTGAACATAAGAAATAGATATTGATGTTAGCATGGCAAAGGACAGATTTATAACATGCCAAATCAGTGTTCATAAGAGACTATCTACAGCACTTCCTACTTTAAATTCCAGAAATCAGACAATCACCAGAAATTCGAATCATGCTGATTTTAAGTTCACCATAATTTCTGGTAATCAAAATTCACTGAGATCTACATCAGCTTCATAAAGTGATAAATTGCTACTGTGCTTGACAAAAATGGAAAGGCAAATATAACGCCATAAAAATACACACTAGATTAGAATCTTTAATACTAAGTGTCGCTAAAATAATATTTAGTTCTTCGATATGATGGAAAATATTACATATAGTACTATTTCTTTCATACTAACATCCATACAAACTCAAAAACATTTCATTCATAAAAACAGTCAATTTTTAGACTTACAAATGGGCTTTTGGAAGCCTTGTCATTCCACACAGCTAAGAGCCCAAGTGATGCAAAAAATCCCAATCCTCCACACAACCAAGCCAATGCTTCATACTATTCACACAAATATATTCCAGTTACTAATAGTCCAACAAAAACTCTCAATTTATTTTACAAACGAGCAAGTAGAGAAAAGCTGAAATTGTATCAGAATGAGGAATCTGACCTTCCCAACGGTATCAGCAATACGATCTATACAAGGCTCTGGAAATGCAGTCCCATTATCCCAAACAAGCTCATCATTCACAGGAAGCTGTAATATAAAACATTAATAAATTTTAAAAAGATAGGGTTCTTCCCATTTGGTTTTAATCTTCCAAAATATAATTAAAGTCAATTAATAAACTATATNAACAGAGTTTAAGCTAATAGATAAGATAGTTTGCATTTGTCCGTTTTGCATGATGATCAGTATGAATTAAATGTACATTTTCCGCCCATGATTCGTGATGCCACATGACTAAGTCTTCCTGCCATTTTCGATTTTTTTCGTAGTCGCTGTGATGAAAACCTTCTAAGAGGTTAAATGATGGAACTTCGATGCCAGTCGCTGCTTTACATAGGCGAAGCCTCGAACACAACAAATATAAAGTAAACGACACCGTATCATACAAGAGTTTTTCACTTCCCACTCTATAAAATGGGCACTTAGCTCGGCCCTGTTGTTTTTTTCGTCCTTGTTACTTTATTTTCTGCTTCGCCCTACCTCTTACAAAACGGCATCGTTTCAATTATGAACCGGACGGAATAGACATGCGGTTTGAGTGCTTCTACTTTATGCTACCTTGTGATTGACCCTCGACTATTGAAGTGTGTGTTGTGTTGTCTGCATGTGTGATTTTTGATAGTTGCGTAGGCGTTGATGTTTTGTTATCGTGATATGTACTCTAAAATCGCGTAATCAACATGTGAGTTTTTTATTGCTCTTTGGCATTTGAAACCACATTGTTTATTATGTGTCGTTGGGCACTGAGTCCCTGTTTGCTGCCCATTTTTTAACTGTAGAAAATGAATTTTGTGATCGTTGAAGCACCAACTTCAAGAATAATGTGAAATGGAAGTCAACAATTCTAGCAAAGTGGAGCCCTGCAGTGGTAGTATTTTTTTCTAAAAATGGAGAAAAAATGGGAAACAAACAAGAGCTGAATTGTGCCTACGTGTTATGTCCGTTGATGATTTCATTGTTCATTTTTCGTAAAAATATTTTCTTTTTTTTTTAGCATGCTTGAATAATGTGTGCGGTTCAATCTATTTCCATGCATTGTGCATTTACTAAGCTCTCTTGTGTCTTATCATGTATATTATGGGGAATATGTTCGCAGCCCGTGTTGCTTGTTATTTCGCAGGTTTGAATGATGGGCTCATGAGCACGCAGAGCTACAATTGTACGTATTCTACCTAAGTCGTGCTGTCTAGGTGGATGGTGAAATTGGTGTGCCCACGTTTTAAATGGAGAGGGATGGATTAATCTGAAGAATTGGAACAAATGCCATAGGGGAGATATAGGGCAAGCACAAGGCAATAGCTCGGAAACATCGATAGGTGCATAGATCGAAGACGATAATGTATGAAGAAATTGTTAAAGATGTTGGAAGCTCGATTAAATGGTTCGATGAAGTTTCATATACCTCTTTCTTTGATTGCATGGATAATTTTTTCTGTTGGTTATTTTTTCTATTTAGTTATTTTTCTACTTCATTGACTTGCCAAATTAACTAGAAAATATATGATTATTTTGCTCACAATACTAGAAAGTTGTAATTTGAGATCAGAAAAGCTTGATCAAACCAGAAGCACAAATGAAAACAAGTTTGAATCTAAATGTTTATTGAAATTATGTTTCAGGAACCATCCACATTGTTTAGTGCCTTCAAGAAGTGGAAAACTATATACATATATATGCTATACACAATTTTACTACCAGTAATATTTTCATATGATAAGAGAAGACTTATCAGCATAATGCAATGGCAGTAACTGTTGTGAAACAATGCTATGGCAGGATAAGGTTCCCGAATGTGTTCTCCCCACTGTAGGTTACGTATAAGAAACCATCTTCATCCTTCTTCTCGTCGTATATTGAAGACATAATAGCACCTGCAAAGAGCAGAAGCGAGGAGCAATGAACACAACCAATTCTGGTAGGCTCCAAGTGACATACAACGCTAATGTTTCAATGTGCAGTAATGTACAAAAAACATTTATGGTACAAAGAAGCACGTTGTATTGAATAATAAAGAAAGCTTAAGCCCGTGTTTGGTTAATGTTTATAAACTGTTTCAAACCAGTTTTTATTCACACATTCCGTGGAATCTACAAGTACTACTCATTTATCGACCACTCATTTCTATCTATTTATAAACACTTCCAACAAATGCTTTAAATCGTATCCATTGTATTGTTTAGTACAGTCCGTATACGGTATACCATAAACCTCGCTAAACCTGTACAAGCATATGCAATTAGATTGCATTAGACAGCACAAGACACGCAATTAAGATTAAGCACTGACCTGTTGGAGGCAAGACATTGTCAACGAATATGAAAATAGCTTTTTCTGCACTCAGTTTGATCCTTTTGCGGATTACATAGACGAATTGTCCCACGGTCAAGTCAGCTGGGACGAGATACCTGTAATTTTTCAATAAGGTATCTGAAAAAAAACTTTACAGCATTTCAATATATTGAATGCAGTATGATGGGCTTGGCTTGATAGACTATCAACGGAACCACCCTGCCTACACATAGAAGGTTGGGGTCCAAGCCTCTTGAAATCCGGATAGTAGGAGTGGGCACCCCAAGGTTTGTAGCTCATTATCTACCAACTAAAGAATTGAAAAGCCATAACCAAGCAAAAATGGTGAATGTTCGGTAACAACTAAAATTGTCCATCGTCCAAGATTTACACCTTTCCTATATAATCACGAGATATTATCAAAACCATAATAAGCACCCAGACCCCTCAAATTCTCGCTACCCTAATCAGGAAACAGGATTGAAAAAGAAAAAAGAAAGATACAAACAACAAAACTAAATGAAAAAAAAAATAAAAAAATCCTATATGCTGGAATATTCTTGTTAAATTTTTTTATGCTTAATTCCTAGCCAAGCATATACCCTTTAGTTGTATAAATTGGACTTCTCTTCATGGACAATGTCACAATAATCTGTTTTCTATCAAGATGGGTATTTGTGTCTTGTTCAATTGTCTCACAAACTGCAATGGTCAATTCATTAAAATATGAAATATTTTGTTAAACCTGGCACGGAATCAATAATGTAGATCTAATTCTTACTTTTTCTTGTCAATATTGGGAATATCACTTCCTTCTGCCTTCTCCACGATCACCTACATTCGAAAAACCAAAGCATGAACATTTTATATTATCGTCAATATTATATAAAGTCTAGAATGCATTAACAGCTTTTATACATGTTATAGAAAACAACAAGAAGTTGTATTAGATTTCCATGATTCCTTTTTGATACAGTTAATCATATGTTTGGACATTGACCACTTAGAGAACTCTTATAGATGCTTCTTAAAGGCTAAGAACGTTATGTTAATGATATCGAAAACCTATAATAAATTAGTCAAACAAGCCTAAAAGTAAGTGAAATGTACAAAATTTAGAAAACATAGAACAGAAAATTAATCAATCAGTCATATAAAGTTCCCTCCGCTAGCAAAAATTTCAGAAAAAGCCTGAAAACGAGTCGAATGGAAGAACTCTAACCGGAATTCTGTCAGGGTATTTCTCCCTAATCCTAGCAGCCTCGGCGCGCCTCTTCTCTGAAACATACATAATGTAACATTTCGTAAATATGATGGGAAAAAAACATCTTTTTTTTCCCCACACGATAAGAAATCAGAGAAGACACAAACCAAGATTATGCTCTAGCTTGAATGAACTCTTTGCCATTCCACCTGAATACAACTGCTAAAAAAGTCAAATTCAAGAAATTAACTTCAAAAACAATCACACCCTCAAGAAAAATAGCCTAATTTTTGTTCATAGAGAAAATCGGTGGAGTATTTGATAAAAGTATAATTTAAGTAAACAATATTTACGAATTCTCTTAGCTAAAATATACAGGAAAAAATTTCTGGGTTCTCAAGAATTGCTTGGTCTAAATATGAATTCAATTAAAAAAAATCGATAACCATCCCGAATTTTGATTTACCTTATCAGAAAATCCCATCACAAAAAACACCAAAAACTCACAAGAAAATATTAATGATGAATTCATAAATCTTGATTTAGCTAAGAAAAAAGGTAAACACGAAATAAATAAGGAAAAAAAAGTTCTGGCGTGACAACATGTAAAATAAATTAACAACCTTTTCTAAGAAGAAGATGATGAAGAAAGAATGGAAAATGATAAGACGTGCCGACGATGGTTTAGATTGAATTATCTTCTGCCGACCGTGGAGCCGAAGAAAGGTTTTGCTTTATTTTTTAAAATTGTCATTTTAATAATATAATACGTTGTGAAAAAGACTCCGGTACCCTCTCTTGGTTGATGTTTAATTCTTAAAAATAAAATAAAAATAAAAATTCTCCAACCCCATTTGCAATAGTAATACACAACCTCCCAATACAAAAATATAGATTAATCTACTTTTACATTAGGAGCTTGTTTGAGCCCCATTTTATGGTAAAAATGAATTTTGAAATAGTAGATTGATAAAGAATGTGTGGTTAAAAAATAAGAAAAATGTTTATGTTTGGATGTAATATTATTTTATTGAAAAATGTATGCTTAAAAATAAGCGGGAGAAAAATATATTTAGAAAATACGGATGATCAAAGAAGGGCTAAATGTTTATTCTGGATGACATCTCATTAGGTATAAAAATCGAGGTCATTGATTTATATAAGTGTTGAAGAAATCGATGACAAAATTGATTGCCACATTATGGAATGTCATCCATAATGTCAAACTGGATATAAATGTAGCAAATTATCTTAATGTTTATTTTTGATACTTATAAAAATATCGATAAAAGTATCTGAAAGTTTAAATTGAGTACAATCCGAAATTAATTTTTGTTTGAGCCTCATTCTTTAAAACTTATTTTTTTTCTCAAACACATTTTCATTATACATTCTCTTAAAAACTCACTTTATACAAATGGTATTCAAATATGAATTATCATGACAATAATATATAGAATAATAGAATCAATTATTAATGAATGCTTATTATTTTTTATCAACTAATTTGATACATGTCAAGATCACAATTTTTTTTTTTTTTTAATTTAATGAAAAGATTTCAACAATATATCAACATCAACACATTGACATACATGCATGAATACACTTTTGATTAATTTGACATTTATTGTTTTTTAATGACCTTTTCTTTAAATCTTGAGTTATGATACATTGAAATAATGCTAAGTGTACACAATTTTTTACACAATCTTTTACACATCTCTCACATGGAAGGGGGCCCACACATAATAAAATAATCGTGGACCCCCCTCCATGTGAGAGAGGTGTAAAAGATTGTGTAAAAGTATGTGTGTACATGTAGCATTACCCTTTTTAAATAGTAGATTGATAAAGAATGTATAGTTAAAAAATAAGAAAAATGTTTATATTTGCATGTAATATTATTTTATTGAAAAATGTATACTTAAAAATAAAAGAGAAAGAAATATATTTAAAAAATAACGAGGACCAAAGAATGGCTAAATGCTTAGAATAAGTCTTAATGTACACTCTTTTGTACATTAAGACTTACACTCCTCTCACAATGAAGTGTGGGGTCCGTAATTTTTTAAATTGGGGGTCTCCCATCATTGTGAGAGGAGTGTAATGCATGATGTACACCCAAGCACTGCTCAAATGTTTATTCTGGATGACATCTCATTAGGTGTAAAAATCGAGGTCATTGATTTATATAAGTGTTGAAGAAATCGATGACAAAATTGATTACCACATTATGGAATGTCATCCAAAATGTCAAACTGGATATAAATGTAGCAAATTAGCTAAAGTTTATTTTTGATACATACAAAAATATCAATAAAAGTATTTGAAAGTTTAAATTGAATACAATCTGAAGTTAATTTTTGTTTGAGTCACATTCTTTAAAACTTTTTTTTTTCTCAAACACATTTTCATTATACATTCTCTTAAAAACTCACTTTTTACAAATGGTATTCAAATATGAATTATCATGACAATAATGTATAGAATAATAGAATCAATTATTAATGAATGCTTATTATTTTTTATCAACTACTTTGATATATGTCAAGATCACGATTTTTTTTTTAAAATTTAATGAAAAGATTTCAACAATATATCAACATCAACACATTGACATACATGCATGAATACACTTTTGATTAATTTGACATTTATTGTTTTTTAATGACCTTTTCTTTAAATCTTGAGTTATGATACATTGTCCAGAATTTTTACAGATAGTTTGACAGATTTACACTTTGGCAAAATTTCATTGACAGTTGGATAAAAAATAACTTCAAACTAGTCAATCCAGTTTCGCTACCTCATCATCTGTAAAAATTCTTGACAAGAGCACGTGTACAAGCAGCTTAATTTTTAAATCTTTATAGACAGACCTCACTCCTGTGGGATGGATGAATAGCATTTTGATAAAATTAAACGATCTTTTAACATCTTAAGTTCAATAATATTCCCCTAACCCATAGTTATTTTGGGAACAATTAACTTGTATATGCAATGTAAAACTTTAATGGGAAATTTACAAATATATACCAGCATATGTATGAAGTTTGAAATATACTTTGATCGCCTATATTAATTGGAAAAACACAACTAACTGTGTAGTTCAATTGAAAAATGATGTTAATTTAATTGACTAAATTAATCCCAACTGAAACTGATGCTAGGTATTTTCAAATTTCTCGTTTCGTCTTTCAAATTCAAATGTGATGACAATAATTGAAATTTATTCTTGTTGACTGATTGAGATATGTCGACGGCCTTTAAGCATTTTGACTAGCGTAGATTGTGTTTTCGCATTATGCCTCTGTTTGGAGCCGATTTTCTGGTCCAAAAATGGATTTTTTGATCGTTACATAGCGAGGTGGGTCCTATCAATGTGAGATAAAGTCAAAAAGTGCAGCTGAAATTGGAACTCAATGGTGCAAAAATTCATTTTCTTTCCCCACAAAATCGGCTCCAAACAGGGGCTGTATGTGAACACAATGAACGAATCTACAGTATCAAAAATATTATATCAATTTGTAACGAATGAAATAGAAAGCAATATGATGTTACGAGGTGCAACAACTATCAAGATTTGACACTTTTTTTTTTCACAAGAGGTGACACTTTCAATCATAACTTCTATTATCAACAAAAGTGATACAGCAAAAGTAACCCTAACCTATATATTTCAATCAATGATCAAACAAAATCATGTAAAGAATCAGTATCATGGATTGGTCACATGGGGCTAGCCAAGATTAAAGCAACCACATTTTTGTCCAAATCATATTCAAATCTAAATTCTTGTTTGTCTCTCATTCTTTTAAAACTCTTTTTTATATATACTCATTTTTAACTGCATTCACATAATAAAATATTGTGGAAATTACACGCACCCATATTTTTTAACTTCCAATTTCAAAAATCAAATTTAAGAATTGTTTATACAAAAATTAGGTGATAATGTATTTTTTAAATATTAATATTTATAAATTAATGATTTAACTAACTCAATTTTAGCTAATTATAGATAATTGACGTGGGTTAGTGGGATTCAATTTTCAAAAGGGGAAAATATCTTTCATAATCTATTTCTAACAACTTCCATCTTCTTCAAAACCCATGTTTTCTTCTCCCGGCATTCATTCATTTCACGTTCGTTCGTCGCCATTATTTAGAATCGACTAGACCTCATCACTTTCGTTATCAAACCTCACTTCTCTTTCTATTTTATAAACAACTTCATCTACTGTGAATGTCATTCTCTATACCATGCTATGTGATACCTATATACACAAAAATCCACACAATGGTTCGAACAAGGAGCGTTGATCGGGAAAGGTAGATGTGTCAAAATATGGGATACAAGCAACATCACCAGCAAAACAAACATGTCCTTAACGCCTCAGCAAGCTGGAAGAACATAAGCTACCAGAAGAAAATGAGCTGGAAGAACTTTCTAGAAATCACACCTCAATCCTGTTAGGGAACATTTCTGTTATTAATTTGTTGCAAGATTCTTTTTCCCCTGTATATATTTTACATTGCACCGTGCTGTAACATATACAATTTTTGGTATCCCTTATTTCAAAAATAGAATCAATACATTTTCTCCTTCATTTTGCTGTTATCCAGCACTGATATTATTACATTATTAGCATTTCTTATATGGTATCAGAGCAATCATGGTTCAAAATATCAATGATAGTCAAAACCAAACTCAAAATCAAAATGAAAGAACAGATCAAATTGACCCATCTCAGCCAAACAGCCCATTTTTCATCGAAACTAATGATAATTCTAGTGCATTGCTTGTCACTCAGATGCTGGATTCCAACAATTACCATTCCTGGGCAAGGTCAATGAGAAGAGCTCTTAGAATAAAAAATAAGCAGGGGTTCATTGATGGAAGCATCACCGAGCCAGAAGATGCAACTAGCCCATTGATGGATCATTAGCTCCGTTGTAACGATATTGTCATCACCTGGTTGCAGAATACTATGTCCATTGACATCAAAGCCAGCACCCTATATGCTGAAACATCACATCAGCTGTGGCTGGAACTTGAGCAACGCTTAGCACAACAAAATGCTCCAAGGATTTATGAAGTTAAGCAAGCAATCACAGCTCTAATGCAAAATCAGGACAGTATCAGTATGTATTTCTCAAAACTGAAAACTCTTCTTGATGAGCTGATAAATCATGAATCA